ATCTTCCACTACGAGCAACTGTTTTCATTAAAATTTTCTTCAGCTATTTCAACACGATTAACAATATTATCAATTGAACTTCATAAGCTCCTGTTTGGGGGGGGGGGGGGGGGGGGGGAAAAANAATAAACCAACTGGCACTGCCCCACCCCTCAGAAAATCTGAAGTGCCCCCCTGGGGAAAAATTTCTGAAAGAAACACTGACCGGGCGAACCTTGCCTTATACCCCATGGATTTGATAGTGAAATGGGATAAACGAACATTCGCAACTATGGATAATTGCAGTCATTTTGACAATCTGGCAACATTGGTAGTAAATTTATGACGTCACGATACGGGTCGCTGTGTTCTTAAACGTCCCCCCACTTTTGTTACATGTCATGTGATCATCTCTAAATAGGCCGCTTCTCGGCATATTGTAATCTGTTATTAAATCATTGCCAGCACTACCCGCGCATATGGATTTGTGAAAAGGCCAGAAATAATTATTATTTTAAAGACACTGAATTTCTTGGTCACCGCAGTCTGGACTGACTGGAAGCTCAGACAATAGTAAAGTGCCTGATGTGAAGACTACTTAAAGGAGCGATCTTAAAAAAAAAAAAAAAGTATTATTTTAATTTATATATATATATATATTGCTTTAGTTAAGTAGCTACTTAGGCTTTATAACAGGGCATATCATAATCTGGGAAAAAGCTTTCGCTGAAGGCAACAGTCCACAGATTTCAGCTATTCAGTCAGCAGTCGTTGACACAACTTGATCTTACTGAATTCATGTTGTCTACAACGTTTCTATCATCAGTCGTGCGTAGCCTATACCAAGGGTTCAATGGCGTCACTAAGAGGACGAAAGGGGGGGGGGTGCGTGGACCGCACCGATGGACTCCTTCACAAGTGGTGGGAGACACCTAATCGAAAATTCAAATCCAAGGTGACGCGGTAACAATGTGGGTTTCCATCACAACAGGATTCCACCACCACAGGGTTCCACCAGAACAGGGTGCACAACAACAGGGTGCCATCACAACAGGTTGCCACCACAACAGGGTGCCACCATAACAGGGTGACACCAGACATGGTGCTATCAGAGTCGTGTGCCACTAGAAAAGCGTGCTATACCAGAATAAGGTATCAGCTAATCGCGGTCCACCAGAGCACCATAACACGTTTCCAGAACACAGGGTGCTACCAGATAGTGTTACCGACAGAACAGGGGGTTACCAAATAGCGAAGGCTGCCATCAGAGTAGGTCGCAAACAATTTAAGGTGCAAATGAATAAGATTCCACCATATTCGGGTGCCACCAGAGCAGCTGTGACACCAGAGCAGGCTGCGACCAGAGCTGCGGTGTCACCAGAGCAAGCTGCTAACAGAGCTGCGGTGTCACCAGAGCAGGCTGCTACCAGAGCTGTGGTGTGACCAGAGCAAGCTGCTTAGTGGAAACAGCAAGACGGTCGTCTTATTATCAATGAATTTATGTTTCGATAAATTTGAAGAGATGTAAGACGTTTATAATTCATTGTAAGTGACAGATATTCATGAACTGTGAGTAGAGCTAATGGTAAAGTGATCTAGTACTGACATAATCATGACACTTATCCCAACTCGTTGGCACACGCTACAGACTGACTTTCATTTTATTGCAAAATTCACATTGATGGGAATAATTAATAATACAATATCAATGTGTGTATTGTACTTCTTGGCAACAGCAAGAATTTCACCCTCCCTACCGACATTGCACCAGAGCAACTCCCTGACGCCTTTGCGGACTTTTTCATCACCAGGGTGCAAACGATCAGGGAGGAGCTAGACAGTGCGACCCCTACACCTTCCTCACCGTTCTTGGAGGACGTAAGTCAGACAGTATCATTTGATAGATTCCTACCTGTGACTGAGGATGAGGTGAGGCGAGTCATCATCAGGTCTGCTCCCAAGTCTTGTGCCCTCGATCCAATCCCCGTCCTACTGCTTGTAGAATGCCTTGACGTCCTCCTCCCAGCACTCACCTCCATCATAAATTTTTCCATTCTCTCTGGCATCTTCCCTTCCATTTTTAAACGGTCGATAGTCCTGCCACTCAAGACTGCCTCACTTGATCCAAACACACTCAAGAATTACCGCCCCGTCAGCAACCTCTCCTTTCTCTCAAAAATCATAGAAAAACTCATACTCTCTCAGCTCTCTGACTATCTTCACTCTCGCAATCTCTATCCTTCCTCTCAGTCCACCTACCGACTTGGTCATAGCACAGAAACAGCACTGGTCCGAGTCATGAGCGACCTCCTGTGCGCGATGGACGATGGCAAACTCTCTATTCTCACTCTGTTAGATCTCTCTGCTGCATTTGATACCATTGACCACCAGATTCTTCTTGACCGCCTTCATCTTTCTTTCGGACTTACTGGCTCAGCTTTAA